AGCTGGAACGTGCACACCATGTGCTCTAGACTCTCCACTAATGTCAAGACCGCCATCATCAACAAAGAGCTGGCACGACTCAAGACTGATGTCGCCTGTCTCCAGGACACACAGTTGGCGGACAGTAAGTCCCTTAAAGAAAGAGATTCCACCTTCTTTTGGCAAGGGTTGTCCCTAGACGAACCCAGGCAATACGATGTGGGTTTTGCTGTTAGGAACTCACTGATCACCACCATAGAAACTGGGGGGTCAGCAAGACTCCTTACCCTATGCATAAAGACATCGTTAGGCTTTGTAAACATCATCTTTGCCTACGCTTCAACACTCACCGCCAGCCCAGAAGCCAAATTCTAATTCTACGAGGCTCTGGAAGATGTGTCTGGAATCCCCTGCTCTGAAGGCATATACTTGCTAGGCGACTTCAATGCCCGTGTTGGGACCGACTGGCAAACATAGCCTACCTGCCTTGGCCACTTTGGTATAGGACAGATGAACGAGAATGGACAGAGACTACTTGAACTCTGTTGCCACCAAGGCCTTTGCATCACCAACAGTTACTATGAATGCAGGGAACTACAGAAAGTGTCCTGGAGACATCCCCGATCTCGTCACTGGCACCAACTAGACCTCGTCATCACCAGGAGAGTGGACCTCTGCAGTGTCCTTCACACGAGAAGTTACCACCGTGCAGACTGTGATACAGACCATTCACTCATTGCCAGCAAGGTCAGGCTGAAGCCCAGAAAGATCCACCATGCCAAGACCAAGGATCGCCCTCGCATCAACACTACGTCACTTCCGATCCGATCAAGGCTCAGTGCTTCGCCAACAGCCTCTAGGGTAGACTTGCCATGTATTCAAGTAACAATTCGGACAATGTAGACACCAAATGGTTTCACCTGCTCGATGCCATATATGACTCGGCCATAGCTGCATTCAGAAAAAAGAACGCAAGAATGCTGACTGGTTTGAGTCACACTGGGACAAAATGCAGCCAGTCACTGAGACCAAGAGGAAAGCGCTGCTGGCTTACAAGCAGAACCTTTGCCCTAGCTGTGTGTGCTAGGGCAAAGGTTCTAGGAACAAGGCCCAGTAGACCGCCCGCCGCTGCGCCAACAAATACTGGCAAAACCTATGTGCTAACATCCAGCTAGCTGCTGATCGTGGTCACACCAAGGGGATGTATGAGGGCATCAAAACAGCTTTTGCCCCATGAGCATCAAAACAGCTCCACTCAAATCAAAAACTGCTCTTGATGTCTTGGTTGACCTACCAGTCATGGAGGAGCTGAGAGATGCCAACATAGTCACATTGTATAAGAACAAGGGCCACTACAGTGACTATAATAACTATTGCGGCATCTCTCTTCTGAGTATCGTAGACAAGGTCTTCGCCGGGGTCGCACTAAACCGCCTACAGAGCTTCGCTTCACGAGTCTATTCCAAGTCACAGTGTGGCTTTAGAGCTGGAAGGTCCACAGCGGACATGATCTCCCTCCATCAACTGCATGAGAAGCGTTGTGAGCAGCAGAAAGCAGTTTTTCTTGCCTTTGTGTGCCTGACCAAAGCCTTTGCCTTAGACGAAGTGGGCTCTTCCAGATCCTCCAGAAGATTGGCTGTCGTCCAAAGCTCTTAACCATCATTACCTCGTTCAACCAAGACATGCAAAACACCGTCTGTTTTGATGGAGCCACCTCAGATGCCTTCCCAGTAAGCAGTCGAGTGAAGCAGGGTTGTGTACTAACCCCAACCTTGTTCAGGAATATCTTCTCGATGCTGTTCCACTACACTTTTGCAGACTGCCCAGAAGGCATCTACATCCGAACGAGGTCAGATGGGAAGCTGTTCAACATTGTCAGACCGTGCCAACACAAAAGCCTACGGGGTCCTCATACGAGAGCTTCTGTTTTCAGATGCTGCTGCTCTAACATCACACAGCAAGGAAGGGTTACAGCATCTAGTTAACAAGTTGTCCCACACTTGCAAGGAGTTTGGGATGACGATCAGTCTTAGAAAGACCAACATCTTAGCCAAGGTGCAGAGTCCCCCCTGTCATCACCATCAATAATACGAAACTGGAGGTCTTGGACACTTTCACCTACTTGGGATCAACCATATCCAGTACACTTTCCCTTGATGCCGAGATCAGCTCCGGGATCGCTAATGCATCTGACTAAACTCAACAATCGGGTGTGGAAAAATTATCTGTTGAGCGATATGATCAAGCTACATGTTTACCAAGCTTGCGTCCTGTCGACTCTCTTACATGTCAGTGACTCTTGGACGACTTATGCCAAGCAGAAGCCGAGGTCTTGGAGCGTGTAATCACTGTTGACCCAAAGACATCTCCAGTGGACCGTCTACCAAGAGATGTCTTGTTTGGAGAACTGTGGGAGGGAGTCCGCCGCACTGGTCGACCTCTGCTTCGGGACTTGCGATCTGCGAAAATCGACATCAGCACTTAGGAGGACACCGCCAAACTTCGAGACACAT